CAATTTCAGTAGATTTTCACAGGGTCAGGAATTTACATTTTCACAAGTTTTCAGGAGATGCTGATGGTGTTGGTCAAGGAACCACACTTTGAGGTCTATTGCCCCAAGCAGCCACTTTGACCATAACCTGAAGGAAATAAACCTGACCAAGTGAGTTAGTAAACAAACAGTAAATATCAACAGTATAGTAGTATTTTAAAAACTGTCATCTATACAAAAACATCACACAGCCAATAACAATATTTAAAATATTTAAATATGTATGATATGAAAAAGTAGTCATGACAGAAGTTAAAAAAAGAAAGCAGGCTACAAAACAGTAAATATAATACACATCTAAATTTGTTGTTTTAAAAGTGTTTGTTAGGCCCTGGCCAGTTTGGCTTAGTGGTTTGAGTGTCAGCCTGTGGACCAGAGAGGCCCGGTTGTTCAGTTCCCACTAAGGGCACGTGCCTCAGTTGCAGTTTGTCCCTGGCACTGGTTGGGGTCGTGTGGGTGGCAACCACTCGATGTGTCTCTCTCATGTTGATGTTTCTCTCTCTCTCTCTCCCCCTTTCTCCCTGTCACTCTATCTCAAGATAAAAATGCAAAAATGTCCTTGGGTGAGGATAAAAAATAAAATAAAAATGTTTGTTAGGCTAGGAATACAGACACAGCTTGGCAAAAGTGATCAGTAATAACAGAATTTAGAATGGTGGATGGCCGGGAAAGCTGGGAAGGGGCATCCTCGAGGAAACACTGAATGTTGGAAATTGTCTTTATCTAGAATTTGAGATGATCGTTAAGGACTGAATGCACATGTAAGAGTTCACTGAGCTACCAACTTCAGAATAGCACATTTAAGAACTTCATAATTAAAGCAAAAGCAACATGGGAGGAGAGGGTAGTGACTGGAAGGAACATGAGGGCTTCTGGGATGCAGGCACTATCTTGTTTTTTTTTTTTAATCCTCACCCGAGGACATTTTTCCATTTTTTGTTCAGATAGAGTGTGAGGGAGAGAGAGGAAGAGAGAGAGAGAGAGAGAGAAACATCGACGTGAAAGGGACACATCGAGTGGCTGCCACCCGCACGACCAACCAGGGCCGGGGACAAACTGCAACCAAGGTACATGCCCTTAGCAGGAACCGAACCCAGGTCTCTCCGGACCGCAGGCCGATGCTCTGACCGCTGAGCCAAACTGGCCAGGGCACTATCTTGTTTTTTGATCCAGGTGCCAGTGAAATGAGTATGTTCGGTTTGTGAAAACTCATCAAATTGTATCTTTGTGCTTTGGGCCCTTTTTGAAAAGTTCCCCAAAAGACATCACTCTTGCTGTTAAGTGAGAGAGCTGCATATAAAAATACTGTAGTTAGAATATACTGGGATGCATACTAAACAAGAAGTGACATTTAAGATGTATGGAGAGATGTCAAAGCTGAAATCAGTAGCAATATCTTTATAAGGACTGCGCACATATGGAGATACACTATTTGATGGAACTGAAAACATGCCAATTTATTTATTTTTCAGGGATACTTTGAGATTATTTGAGGGGCAGTAGTTTAGGTGAGGCATTCAAGAAAAAAAAAAGGGCAATATGACCATTGTTACCACTTGTAAGCACATCTTAGGTGACTGAATTTATAAGAATATTTGCAATCTAACTTTACAGAATTTATATTGCTTTCCTTTTACATTACATTTATTTATTAAAAAAAAATTTTTTTTTCTTTACTGATTTTAGAGGGAGAGAGAGAGAGATAGAAACATAGATGAGAGAGAACATTGATTGACCACCTCCTGCATGCCCTCACTGGGGTTTTGGCCCACAACCTGGGCATGTGCCTTGACCAGAAATTGAACTGACGACCTCTTGGAGCATGGGTTGATGCTCAACCACTGAGCCATACCAGCTGGGCTCCTTTTACATTACATTTAAATTAATACTACAAAACAAGGGGCAGAGGAAATCGCTAATTTGTTTAAATCAGTCACACTTCACATTCCTGGGTTAGCATATTTTGTTTGTTTTGTTTTGTTTTGTTTTGTTGTTTTTATCCTCACCCGAGGACATTTTTGCATTTATCTTCAGATAGAGCAGGAGGGAGAGAGGGAGGAAGAGAGAGAGAGAGAGAAACATCAATTGGTTGCCACCTGCACAACCCCAGCCGGGACTAGGGAAGAACTGTAACCGAGGTACATGCCCTTAGCAGGAACTGAACCTGGGACTCTGGTCCACAGGCCGATGCTCTCTCTATCCGCTGGGCTGGGTTAGCATATTTTGAACATGCCATGCCAAAAGTAAAATGTTCTAGTTCAGCGACTCCACAATTTGTATGCATATTAAAATCACTTGTAGACTTTTGCAACTATTTCAAGGCCTAAGTCACATCCAAAACCAATTAAATTATAAACTCTGGAGGTGGGACACAGGCATAGGTATTTTGTTTGAAGCTCCCCCAGATGATTTCAAAGTGCAGACAAGTCATTAAAATTAATGGTTTATACAAATTAAACAGAAATGACAGATCCTAACTTATTTACTGATATTTTCTAAACAGGATTTGCATATAGACATTTAAGCCCGGCTGGTGTGGCTCAGTGGATTGGGCATCATCCCATGGACTGAGAGGGCCTGGTTTGATTCCTGGTCAGGGCGCATGCGTGGGTTGCAGACTTGATCCCCAGTAGGGGGCTGCCCATCAATGTTTCTCTTCCACGTCAATGTATCCATCTCTTCCTTCCTCTCTCTCTAAAAAATAAATAAATAAACATTCATGTAAACATTTAAAAATCTGAGCTGTATTTACCCTGTAGCACCATTTCTAAAAATTTTTTAAACTTAATTTTATCTTTTTGGGAGTTGTTTTAAGTGGCAAAAAATATAAACGCTAATTTCTTTAAATCAGAATAACTTCAAATTTCTTAATGAGGCTGGTACCTAAATGCCAGTTCAAGGTTAAAGATCATACTGCCAGATTGGCAAGTTTTTTGTAACAGTTTAAATATTTTCTGCAACATAAAGAGTAAACAGAGAAACATAGGTCTAGCTTCAAATCCCAGTTTTATTTGAGAAAGAATTTTATTTTACTCAAAGTTAATAACCCACCAATGCAAGTGCAACTTAATGAACACTGCATTCATAGGTCACAAAATTCTCTGGACCAAAATAGGAAACAAACCAAACTACAGTCAAGTTCTTTGCCAGATTTTATATAATTGTATCACTTCTATTTGTTCTGATTCATACTCATATTTGAGTATCCAGAATCCCCAAGTAATTCTGAATTTATGGTCTTCTGTTTCCTTCCTATGGCTCCAAAACTGTCATCTGATGGAGGGGCTGAGGACATACATGTCCCAGATTTTATCACTCAACCTTGGGCATCTCCAAAGCCTTGGAGTCCATGTCTATAGTACAAAGGAGAAAATGGCAAATGCCTTAAGAGATGTGCTGCTGGGTCACAGGCCCCACAGTATCCCATACTTCCACATAAGAGAGGGTGTTGATACTCTTTGGGGATCTGTTAGTTGAGATCCACTTTGTCATCTAGAGTCACTAGAGCAAGGTCTGTTTTCCACACTTGTTAATAATGAGTGAGTGATGAAAGAAGTGAGTCTTACTTGACCTCCAATTGTATGACCCAATTTCTGTTTTGGAGGGGGTAAGATACCTAGGACTTGCCACAGGTGGTCTACTTTCTGTTCATCCTGTGGTTGGCCCTGGCCAAATGAGTACCCTGAAATCACCACACTCATAGCCCTGAGGTAGGGACCAATGAGATAGTTGTAGGTTAGGATCTTGCCTTGTGGCTTTGACAAAGTTAAAAAAGACAAGGTCATTTACTTTTTGTTCCTTCTGGTATTTCTAGTCCTTCACAGTTCCTAAGGAAAGTTATAAAAAACAAACAAACTGAATTGCAGGTCAAGGGTTCCTTCTATAATGCCTGTTATTTGTCCTCTGGTCAGTGTGTATTTGGGAATTATATTTGACCTATGTTAGAAAAGTAACTTTTGATCAAAGACCTGACAGTATCATCTTAAATGTGAAGGACTAAGACTAATTCCTTGAACTTCCTCCTCTCTCAAATTTTTCACTGAATTCTTTCTGATGAATGAGTCAATATGTTAGTGGTGATGAAATGGTTGCTGCTGGACATCTGAGTGTATCAGGATGCAGAGGAACCTTTTTCTGAACTAGGTTAACAGTGGCTCCTAGTGGGTGAGTTAAATCTTGGTTTCATTGAAAAGTAAGCTACTTTCTATATAGTATGGCATATGCAGACTAATTTCACTGCCCTAAACATCCCAAGTATTCCATCTGTTCTTTCCTCTTCCTGGCAACTACTGATCTTTTTACTGTCTCCATAGTTTTACCTTTTTGAGAATGTCCTATAGAGGACTCATACAGTACATGTTCTTTTCAGAAAAACTTCTTTCACTTAGTTGGTTTTCGTGGAATTATAGCTGATTTCTTTTTATTGCTGAGTAATATTCCATTGTATGGATATACCACAGTTTGTTCATCTTTTCATCTATTGAAGGACCTCTTGGTTACATCCATGTTTAGGCTATTATTAATTAAGCTGGGAGTGCAATTTATTGTTGTATTGTATGATAGTGTATATTTAGTTTTGTAAGAAACTGCCAAACTGATTTACAAAATAGCTGTACCATTTGTTTCTACCAGCAATGAACGAGAGTTAAACCTTTTTTTTCTTCTTTATTGAATTCATTGGAGTAACATTGGTTAATAAAGTTAAATAGGTTTCAGGAGTACAGTTTTATAATACATCATCTGTATATTTTACTGTGTGTTCACCACCCCAAGTCAAGTCTCCTTTCATCACTATTTATCCCCCTATAATACTCTCTTTTACCTAAACCTTTTTTTCTTTTTAAAACCTTTTTGTTCTAATGCTTTTTAGAGGAGGCTAAAGCACAAGGGAATATAATATTTGTATATTGTAATGTGACTGCTCACAGTACTGTACTCATTGTATTCTACATTTGTTTCAGGTTGAATTCATTCAAAAGGACTAATATCATACTGCAACATTTGGTAAGTTTGGACTTTTTTTCTGGCATGATGTGTAACTTATGTGGTTATGATGTGTAACTTAAAATGTCATTGTTTGAGAAGCAGAGAAATACTGGCAGGTGTCATTGACCTTGGTACACAATGGTTCCCAATTTTATAGTGTCAGGACTTGACAAATATAACCTGTAGGAGGTGGCATAAGGCTGTGGATAAGAGCATGGATCTTCAAGTTGGAATACCTGGTTTAATGGGTTCACTACTTAATCTTGGGCAGATCACTTGGTCTCTCTCAGCTTCCTTTTTAACACATATAAATGAGGATAATAGTATCCACCTTAGAGTTATTATGAATAATAAGTAAGATACTTCATTTAAAAATTTAGCCTAGTGCTTGGCATGTAATAATAATTTTATACATGTTAGCTACTATTGTACTAATAGTTCCCTTCTAGAGCTTAGATGTCTTTATCACAATATTGCAAGGAAGATAATTTTTATTCATTTTTGTATCTCTCTGCTATAGACTGAATGTTTATGTCACCCCTAAATTCATGTTGAAATCTATTCTTAATGTGATGGTAATTGGGGTGGGGACCTTGGGAGGTGATTAAGTCAGAAGGGTGGAACCCTCAAGAATGGTACCAGTGTTCTTACAAAAGAGATTCTAAAGAGCTTCCTCATCTCTTCTGGACACAGTGAGAAGACCAAGAAATGAGATATCAGTAGACACCGAATTTGCCTTTGTCTTAGACTTTCCAGTCTCTAGAACTGTGAGATATAAATGCTTTGCTGTGTAAGCCACCCAGTCTATGGTATTTTTGTTATAGCAGCATGATCAGCCCAAGACACCTTTATACAGCCTGAAAAGTACCTTGCATATAAAAATGACAAGTTGCCCTGGCCGGTTTGGCTCAGCGGTTGGAGCGTCGGCCTGCGGTACAGAGAGACCCGGGTTCGGTTCCCGCTAAGGGCACGTACCTCGGTTGCAGTTTGTCCCCAGCCCTGGTTGGTCGTGCGGGTGGCAGCCACTCGATGTGTCCCTTCACATCGATGTTTCTCCCTCTTTCTCCCTCTCTCTCCCTCCCGCTCTGTCTGAACAAAAAATGGAAAAATGTCCTCGGGTGAGGATAAAAAAATAAAAATAAATAAAAAAAATAAATAAAAATGACAAGTTACTCTGATATAGTACTCACTGTATGCCAGGTGCTATTCTAAGTACTTGATATGTATTAGCTCAGTTGATTTCTTATAGTCATACTGAAGATCTTTTATCTGCAATTCTGAAACCTCAAAGCCAGGAGTATGTGGTAAATGCATTTGGTTGCAAAATATGACTTGAATGTATTTGAAACTCTTTTTGTTTTTAATCCTACTTGTGCAGCTATTTATAGTTTGGTGCATAAGTGTTAAAGCATTTGATTACAGTACAGACTCACTGGGGGTGTTTATATATGGTATATAATATGTATTTTGTTACCTTTTCACAATCTAGAACATTTTCTGAATTATGAAACACACCTGGAACCAAGGGTTTCATTTAAGGGATTATGGCCTTATTCCTATGTTATGGATTAGACATGGAGGGACAGAGAGGCTAAGTAATATGCCCTAATGTCATGCAGCTAACAATGGGAGGTAACATTTGAATCCAGGTAAACTGGCTCCATAGACTTAACCTACTGCACTCTATAGCCTCTGGCAGAGTAACTATTGCACAGCGTTTCTCAGTTGAGCCTCAGTCGAGATGGGTATATGAAGACTGGAATGTCCCTTTCTACCCTTATTTATTTTAAGTCAGCTGATATACATGGGGTGGAGGAGTTTCCTGGAAAAAGCACTTAGAATAATGTCAGTGGTTCATATTTAGACATATACGCATAGATGGAATAGAAAGATCTGACAGAATCTGGATTCATGAGGCTGTGATGACCTGGGCCATAAACAACATTGAGAGATGACAGATAAATTAGGCTCTCGTCAGGGCCTGAGGGCTGAATAGGTTGTAGGTCTCAATGTTGGCTTTTACATCAGAGATAGAGAAGTGGTTTCCCAAGCAGTCCTCTGGGACCCTTCAAATACAGCCAATAAAGAGAATAAAACCCTTTTTATTTCATAGTGGAGTGATGGGAACATGCCACTGGTGGCAGTGCTGTAGACAGAGTAATGAGAAGTGGACAGGACAGGAGAAGCAGATTTGTTGGAAAGAGATTTGTTGGTAAATTTGGTTTTTAACAAGTTGAGTTTGGGGTGCCAAATGGTTAACTCCTGTGATAAGAAAATTCTGTGTAGCAGGCATTTATTTGGAAGTAAGGGCCTGGGCCTCTGGAGCAGTAAAGATACAGATGCAGGTTCGATCCAGCTACTTACAGGTAATAATTGTAGATGGAAAATAGATGTCCTCACAGAAGGTCAGAGAACAAGGGAATAGCTAAGAATGATCTTAGGGGCTCTAAATTATTGACATGTGGAGGAATTTACTGACCCAGTTTGAAATTACTAAAATGAAGCTTGAGTAATCAGCATTTATTAAATGTTTTTTGATGCTTGACCAAAGTGTTGACGATCCATGCTTTTTTTTTTTTATCCTCACCCGAGGACATTTTTCCATTTTTTGTTCAGATAGAGTGTGAGGGAGAGAGAGGAAGAGAGAGAGAGAGAGAGAGAGAGAGAGAGAGAACCATCGACATGAAAGGGACACATCGAGTGGCTGCCACCCGCACAACCAACCAGGGCTAGGAACAAACTGCAACCGAGGTACGTGCCCTTAGCGGGAACCAAACCTGGGTCTCTCTGGACCACAGGCCGACGCTCTAACCGCTGAGCCAAATCGGCCAGGGCGATCCATGCTTAAAGATACTCCTGCGTGCCTGGCTGGTGTGGCTCAGTGGATTAAGCATCATCCCATGGACTGAGAGGTCCTGGTTCGATTCCTGGTCAGGGCACATTCCTGGGTTGTAGGCTTGATCCCCAGTGGGGGGCTTGCAAGAGGCAGCCAATCGATATTTCTCTCTCACATCTGTGTTTATTTCTCTCTCCATCTCTCTCTTCCTTCCTCTCTCTAATCAATAAAAAATAAAATCATCTACTTTAACAACAAAAAACCAAAAACTCCTACATCATTGTAATAGCAAAAACTGGAAATTATCCAATGCTTACCAGTAGGGGACTGATACATTGTTATGTAAGAATGCATAGCTATATGTACCCCCATGTTTGCAGCAGCACTATTTACAATAGCTAAGATCTGGAAACAGCCCAAGTGTCCATCATAGACGAATGGATAAAAAAGCTGTGGTACATATACACAATGGAGTATTATGCAGCTATAAGAAAGAAATATCTCTTATCCTTTGAGACGACATGGAGGGACCTGGAAAGTATTATCCTAAGCGAAACAAGCCAAACAGAGAAAGACAAGCATCATATGATCTCACTTATTTGTGGAATATAATAAACATAACAGTCTGAGGAATGGGGTAGTCCCAGAGACGTGGAAGTGGGGTACAGACTGACAATCCCCAGAAGAGAGGGTGGTGGGGGAGAGATAAACCACAGAATTTATATGCATGTATGCATGAACAATGGACATGGACAACAAAGCTGGGAACAGGGCAGGGAGGGAGAGGGAGGGGGAATCAGTGGAGGAAAAAGGAGAAACATCTGCAACAAAAATAAATTAATTAATTAATAAAAAAATGCATAGCTATTAAAAATAAATAGGTATTATATGGTAAAATCCATACTGGGAAATTTTGCTGATTAAATGGCATGGATTTTTTTCAACAAATTGTAAAGAAAAGAAAGGGATGAAGGGAGAACCTATAAATAAAAAGACTTGAAAGATAAATCCAGTTTTAAAAAATTGACAATTATGTTTATGGATGCACAGTTTGCATTTATTATAAAAACCAGGGCAGTTGTTGCTTTTGTAGGGAGGAAGAGGGCCATGATAGGTATGAGACAGGTGGAGGGCTTTTGGACTAGCTGGGCAACATTGGATCTGGAGTTTGATTTTACCCCAATTACATGCTAATAGTTAGCTCGTTACGATTTCATGGATGTTTGAGGAAGACGAGGAAGACATGAAACTCTTGAGTTTGAGACAAAGGACTTGCTATTAGTGGGATAGTGAGCAGCATTGAGCAGCATGTTCTTATTGGCTCATCATGGTCCCCAAGTCCCACAGGGGTGACATAGAAAGCCCAGATGGATGCCTGCATATACAGTGGTTTGTGTTACCGGACAGTAGTACTAAATTTGAGGAACCTGCCTGCTTATAGCAAGCTGTAAGCTGGAAGCAAGCCTACTCTCTCTCTCAGAGGGAGACATTTTATTTTCCTTAAACTTGCTCAAGCCAGTACAACCCTGAAAAGTGACCCAAGGAAAGAGTGGTCAGGCCCTTGGGTTCATGGCATATCCAGCAGTAAAGTTCAGGGAAACCTCAGGGCCCATGGCAGATGGCTTCTTCCACCACCAATGGAAATAGGGTCATTGTAGATTTAATTAGTTAAGATAAGGTCATACTGGAGTACGAATTACTAGAGTAATTCAATATAATTGTCCTTATAAAAAGGGGAAGTTTGGAGATATGAGACTAAAAGGTATGCTCTGGGCTCTTCTCCTATTTTCCCTGTCCCAGCCATGGAATCACTACTTCTCCAAGGAGCCCTGGTTTTCTTCATTTGAGACTTGCATTTAGAAATTAAGATCTGAGCTCTGGGAATGTTCTCTGCTACTGGGGTGTCATGACTTTCTCTTGGGGGGTTGTGCTAGGAAAATATATGTATAGTGGAACATATATACACTATAGACTAATCCATGTATGTATACATATCTATAATTTTGTTTTTTGCATGTATCTTCAGATAGAGCGGGAGGAAGAGAGGGAGGAAGAGAGAGAGAAACATCAATGTGAGAGAGACACATCAACTGGTTGACACCCACACGACCCCAACCAGGGCCGGGGACAAAATGCAACCCGAGGTACGTGCCCTTGACAGGAACCGAACCTGGGACTCTCT